GTGAATATAAGTTTGAACTAAAATGACAAGAAAACCAAAGATGATTAGTATACTGTAACACACAATCATATTAGGGTCTTTCAGATTGCAACAGAAGTCAAATAGAAATTCTTATCTTAATAAACCTATCCAATGAATCGCTTGAATATCTCGATCCAGAAATATAAAACTCTCATATCTTACACAAGCAAACTAACTTACTTTTGGAAATATCTTTGTAGATTGTTTGTATCTTGTTTGATTTTTTTATGTAGCTTATTCACGAATTTTATTGTGTCTGCTTTCTGTCCATTCATCTCAATCCGTTCGACATTTTAATATGTCAGTTAACAAAGCAATAATGAGTTTTCCCACCAATCACTTAGGCTTAAGTCGTGTAAATCGCTTCTTAGTATTAGTCTATGTTTAATGGTACGTATAAAGAGAAAGAATAAATTATAATTTAAACAGATTGAGATCCGAGAGAATCTTAACTAGCACAATAAATTGACATTTTTGCGTTTTACATATTTATCGATGCATATTTTAGATAAAAAAAGTCTAGAACAACAAGAAAAGGGTTGAACTTCACGGTCTTTTCTTAATTCGCTGTAGATGATTATTCTACACTGTTCGTCTCGTAGGTATACGGCTTTTCTCGGTGTACAATATTGTTTTATATCACCTCACGTCGTTGATACCAGAGACTTTTTCTGCTTGAATATACAGTATTCGCAAAAGGTATCGTATTCTGTAGGTATCAAGAACCATGGCAGTTAGAGACTTCAGCTCTTAAACAGACCTACTCATGAGCAACGAAATGCTAATGACTCATGAGCCTCGACAGATAAGCGTCATGTCGTAACTTATAATGGTCACTGCATAATAGTTCTTTTACTATACTATGTCCTTGTCGATATTTACCATCTTTATCAAAAAATTCACAACTCAGCTTAGGAACATGTCTGTGACTCAATAAATTTTCAAAAGCTAAATCTGCATCATGATAATCATACAAAAATATAATCATGATAACCTGACGAGAGATAGGAAATTTTGTCAAGAAAGGTTTCCCGCCCTACTTGAGTGAAAGAAAGCATATTTTTATGGTCTTGTATGGACAATTCAAAAGTTACTAAAAGTCGAATCGCATTTAGAGGTCTGCGGGACGATCCCGGTCTTGCGGGATGGTTCTGGTCCCGCAGGACTTTTAATACGACCGGGACCAGGTTTTTTTGAAAATAGTTTTGTATGGAGCATAAAAATTTCTTAGTTTCTGTGCTTGTTTGTATGTATGCACAAGTTCTGCGAAAATTCTTATAAAATTTAACAAATCTTCAATTAACGCATGCTGTTCCACGAGCCACATTACAACGCGCTGACTTTCAAACTACCAGTACTACTTTGAAAAGATATTTACGGGACCACGAGAGCAGGACCAAAAAACGAGTTCTTTCCACGGGAGCAGGACAGGACCAAAATGTTTTTTCTTCATGAGACCAGGACCAAAAAAGTTTGGTCCCGCAGGCCTTTAATTGCATTCCAAGCTCGAAGCTACCCCAATATAAAAATATACGATGATGTTACTTTTTCGATCTTCTATGTATGTTTTCTCATAGATTGTCTCAAAAGCCATAGAAATCAGCATAACTATTCAATCATTACCATTTTAGTTTTCACATTCAACACATCTATGATTTACTGCGGAAAGAGTTTCTAGTGGACACACTTTTTTCTATTGTTTACCAATTACCAATTCAAACCAAAGTTTATTTGAAATCGGTTGATTATTTACCTAATATCTCATCTGAATTATTTATATTTATATTTGTACAAATATTACCTCTAAAATTCGTTCGGCTATGTTATCTGGATCTATTCGTCAACGAAACAATTCCGGTCAATTAAAAAACTGATAAACGATCAAACACAATTTGGTTTGTTTTCGTCTCTAACAACATTGAAGTTATTACATATTATTATTTTAAGTAATTTAGAAATTATTGCATGAAATATTTGCCACAGAAGCTGATTTAACTGTTGAACTTCATAGAAGTCAATGTAGATTAACAAATAGCGTTTCGAATTTCATTCGTTAGTTCTCTTCAACGACTTAACGATATTTATATATTAGTGATAATCTGCCAGTCATAGAATGTTTAAGTATTGAAGATAGTCAGAATTATATTTTCATGAAACAACGTATTACGTCAGTATATCGTAAACTTCTAAGTGACAAATTACATTATTCATGTGATTTTGAGGTTTCTCCAATAGAAAACATTTTAGTCTGATATTTCCACCTTAGGGCCTCGCAAGTATTCCTGCTAACGGCACTTGATGCCAAACTACAGAAATGGATCTGACCGGAGGCGAAGGCAGACCAACTGGTCCAGATGGTGATTTTTGGATAAACGTGAACAGAACATAATTTTAGATCTGTCCATGAATGCGCCATAATAGTCAGGGCTGGATAGGCAGTTACCACCAATCGGTCAGTCAATCCGGGATAATGGCTTCTTTATTCTCTCCATTCTCTTCTGTCGTGAATCAGTAGAAATGATTAAAATACTACTTTTTTCGATCCGCTGATCTATTCACTTTATAATGAATGATTGGGAAAAAGGACGAGAGATGGTTTCTGCTGGAAAATGGCCTCATATCATTTTGAGTGAAAACGATCGCAAATGCTTCCTGTTTTACTTCTAGATACTTCTGACTTTTAAAAATTGCTTCTGATTCCCTTGAAATAAAATTTCATATAATTTTTTGTGGGTATTTTAACAAAGACCAAATACTTTTTTCCCAAAAGTTTTCGTCTGATGTCAAAGTCCTTGACCAAAGCTCATATATAGAAAGATAGAGAATTTTGCAGGCTTCAAAATAAATAAGCGTTTCAGAAATATGCCCATTCGGGACAATAGTCGAAATACACGACAGATATGATAATTTTCACCTATCTTAGTGCTTTAAAGAAATATTTCTTGAACTCATCTACTCAAACTCAGAATGTTTTATACATAGAAAGGTAGAGAATTTTCTGGACTTCAAAATGAACTACAATATTTTGTTTTAAAAGTTTGCCCTCATAGATTTATTGGCTAAATACTGGATAGAAATCTCAATTTTTACCCACAGTGGTATACAGAAATTATCAGTTTCTTTCACAAATAGAAATTATGAATAGTTTGTATTTAGAAAAATGCAAAACTGAAAGTGCTACAAAATAAGCCATAGTACGTTGTTTCTAACGTTAAGTTTAATAGACTTGTTGGCAAGATACCGAATGGATAGAAAACTAGAAAAACCTTTAAAAAGCAGGAGAAATGTATTTGTGGGCTTTTCGTAAATATATAGCAGCTTGATGAAAAAATGTTGTGGAGAACTCGGAGACGTCTTATTTTCCTCAGAAAGATTTACTCTATTTAACTAGCTATTAGCACAAAACTATCGATAGAAGCTAGGATTCTTGAAAGTAGGTCTCTGAGTTTCCCCCAAATCCTGGTTTTTAAACATTTTTGATAATTTCATTTGAGCAAATGTCCCAAACCCATAATGAACGTGTCTGGTCGTGATAATGAATATGAAAAACGACGTACGTACAATTGACGCAATCGTAATTTAAGATTCGTAAAGGATGAGTAAAGATGCGTTTCTTCTATCTCCGAAATTATCAGTAGGCAGGTATATAGATGACGAGTTTCTTTTCTTTAGAAATATTTCACCACAAGTACCGTTTTACATAAAGAAACGCGAAGTCAGTTACGACAGACAGAAAACCATTCATGCATACTAAGTATCATTTATTATGCTATTGTCATGTTTATCAGGGACATGAGCCAAAAAAAACCAAGGAAAACCAATTGTTCTTTTCGTTTTTGATCATTTGTAATAACCATCTATACAAAAAATAGTATCGGCAATTTCGATCGTTACACTAAAAGTAATTTATCGTGTACAATATAGTTCCAGCCAACAGGCAACAAGATAATGAGTAAAAAAAAACGCTTTATACAAGACTTGTTCTTTCTTTTAATATGCAACGGCAGCTGCAACTTAAAACAGTTGACAGTCAGTTTCGCTTTTTATAATTTCCATGGAACAATTTCCGCACATACTCCGTGCGACTTATCAAATGTGTAGAACTCGGACTCAAAGCTTTAAAACACCCATGCTCAGGCATAAGAGTGGATCTATTACATGTTTAGGTAGAACCTTATAGTTGTACTTTGGAATTGGTAGAACAGGCTCTAACTGTGTAGCAAGTCGTAGAGAAGGAAACGGCTTTATGGCAGGCGCAGACTGAACAGATCCATCCACACGAGAGATATGAAAAAGCAGTTCTTTACTTATCTTCCTGGAGTAAAAATACTTCTGGGGGTTCAAAATGCTGCTGCCGGCATCACTTCATGTAGTTACTTGCTGCTTCATTGTGTTTTTTCTGTCTGATAGATTTCTTAAACAATCGACTTGAACGAAATTTTGGAGTAGATTTCAATGGCGATGGATATATCGGCGGACAAGGTAAATGTGCATTGATTCTAACTCTCCATCGAAAACATTTTTTAGAAAGGTCAGTCGTGTTAAGTAATTTGGTCAAACTACGCATACTCTCCATAGAGATGTGCGCGATTGGACCAAATAATTTTGCACCGGTTCCACTATGGATCCGTAGATTTTTAGAGTAGTTTTAGTTCCATACAAAAGCTTTTTGGGTTTTTACAGCCTACTGTAACCGTCCAGTAAATTTTTGAAGAAAACACCCAGTGTCACACATCTTTAACTATCGAATTCTTTGTATAGACCGACTTCATTCAATAACTTGAAGAAAATTTTAGGTTTTGCCAGCAGACTCGAACGAGCAACACATATTGACTTTAAAACCAGTTCATATACTACGTTTCATCGAGATATTCTAGTGTGAAAATCCGCGAGCGATTTGCATTACAGCTGCGACATAAAAAGTGTGAGTAAGGGGTTATCGTTATTGCTATGTCTCTCCAGACTGTACAAGTTAAGTCATGATTTCGACATCATTCAACTGTGAGTTAACTTTACCAGTCAATGGTAATCATCCAATAAATGAGCGAGAAAGTGGGTGAAATGAAACTCAGTTTCCGTAAACGCTCTTTAAATGAATGAAGTGGCGTCTTAGACTTCCCGTTATATGCAAAAAAGAAGCTAAAAGGCCCCCTGGTAAAGAAAGATACTAGTTGCACGGAAAGCGCTAACTATCACTTGTTAAGGAAGGAACCAGCGACATGTTACTGGTTCGTTAAATTTGGTAGTGTGGACGAAACTTCCAGCTTTCTCACAGTGTATCTCGCAAAAGAGTGTAGTCTGGACAAAGCCTATGACAGAAGACAATCGCTTCGCGGTGATTTTTGAACGATCCCTTAATCGGGACGGTATAATTGGTCGTTTACCCGATTATGGTGGCTATGGCATGGGTGGCTATCAGCCAATGTATGGCGGTTACGGTGGTGGTATGGGCTATGGTTTACCGGGCACGGGCTTTGCCAGTCCTTATGGATATGGATTTTATTGACAGAACGACACTTGCCGTCTGCATTCAGCTTCCGACGGACCATAGTTTTTTTTTCATTTCAGTCTAATTTTTTCAAACTAAAGCAGGAGTATATCCAAAGTTTGCTTACCGTGTATTCACTAAGGCAAAAAACTTGTTACGATAGATCTAGTGGTATCTATCGTTCAATCTAGAGAGGGAACATTCTCCTTAGCAGAGATGGGCAGCTCCGACTCCGGAACGGCCGCTCCACGGAGCGATTGATGAAAGTCACCGGAACTGGACTAAGCGTTTTATGAGAGTCATGAAGTCGGAGCGGAGCGCTTCGTAAAAACTATGGAGCTGAAGCGGAGTCGGAACGGCTCTTTCTTTTAGTGCTCCACCAATAGCTCCATTTGCCCCTTCGTGTTCTGTAAACGACGATAGATCCATCAGTCAGAGGAAAGCTTATCGTTGACTATTCATCGCAGTCGATATTTCTTTGTCGTATTTATAATCAGTCGCAGTTGTGTACCTTTCACATCCGCTCCTGTGGAACGTGTGTTTTCTTCCGGTGGGATGTTCAGGCGATCCCATGTCAGCCAACTCTCCAAGAACATACTCGTTATGTTGACTCTATTCAAATGCAATCGACACTCCACTATTTCCACTAGTCTTATTTCATGCTGCAGATCAAACTGTGGTCTAAAACTATTGTACATAAAAATTTTCGTGATGATCTTCCGTATATGCTGTGAAAGAGAACATGAACCCCGCAGATCATTGCAAAGCTACTTCAAAGAAATGCGAAAAATGTGCTTTTCCAATAAGGTGAAAACTCCGCTCTAGCTGGAGCGGAGTTAGAGCGGAGGTGGAGCGAAAGTCGGAGAAGCCGATCTCTGCTCCTTAGTTGCTCAATCAAGTCAATACACTTTTTGAAAAAATTTAATTTCTTTTTTAAACAATTTTTGAAAGTAGTATTCATTGGTGTAGAGATGCGACGTCGAATAATTGCGCTACCGAACCTGCTGGATAGTCCAGATGAGAAAGATGATAAGACCAGTCCTAGAACGGAGATAAGACCAGCTAAAACGTTTTGAAAACTATTGAACTCAGACAAAAACTGACTACTTTTTCATGTCATTGGAGTGTGCGGCTACTTGAATAGCACGAAACCTATCTGAACTCTGAATCCATTCAGATTCAATCGGAACCATCTGATAATACTCTAATTTGATCTATTTTATTCTGTTGTATTCCATATGACTATTTCGAATAGTCATATTCGGAATCAGCATCGTCGATTACATATAGTCATGTATGTTTCGAGGAAAAAGCGCTGATACACTTGGGAAGGTTCCCTCGTCAGTAACTAAATCAAGGTGAAACTTGATACTTCCATCGCTTTATCTCATTTTTGCTCCTTTCGTTCTACTACGTAAATCACACTACGTGATGCTTTAACATTTTGTCAGTGGTAAAGTCACGTTTTGTCAATTCAACTTTCGCCAATAGATTCGCCATAATTGGCGAACTGCGACAAAATAGATCCCTCAAAATAGATTCTGAACATTTCAGAATTTCAAAATAAAGTCTATTTTCTTTTCTTTACACATTGATAAAACTAGAAATACGGTCAATTTAAGAAAAACCTCCTGGATTTTAACCGCTTCTGTGGAAAACCTCAAAGCTAAAATCAGGTTCTGTTAATTAAGCTTAAAGAATTCTTTAATTCAAGTTTTTTACATTCTGAATTTCACCATAGTTCAAAGTAGCTAAAAACACTCCCATTTGGAAGAGGATGTTTTGAGCCGCCAAGCTATGAAAAAGCTCAAATATTTGTATTTCATGGTTTTGAGTTATGGTCTGGTTTTTCAAAAACCTTACTTTCGGTAAAAAATTCAAAATTTGTTTTGCTTAGTGGAAGACGTCTGTCGTACAGAGGAAACCACACGCGTCTATGTCTTTTCGTTAAAAAGTTATTCGAACAAAGTGCAGCTGCATTTTATTTTGAAATGTATAGTGCTATCCGTTCCAAAAAGCTCGGTCATTATTCTCTGAATAACTTGAAGGGAATAAAAGATACAGACTTGCACTTTTCACCACTCGATGACCAAGACTTGAAACTACTTTTCCATAAGCAAAAACGGATTTATTATTATTTTAATTCTAGAGATTTTTAGAGATTTTTCATTGAAAAAACAAGGTTTTCTGAAGATCTTTTCTTGTGGCAACAGCTGGAAAGTTAAAACTTTTTTGTTTCTTGTTTTGAACTTGCTAAACTATACAGTTCAAATGTATGAGTTTGCCAAACGTATATCTCGATAATTTAAGGTTGTCTAGGAGTTTTCTAGAAACATCCTAAGGGTTTTGCAACTGTCGAAGTAATATTGAAGTTAAAATTAAGCTTGTTTCATAGATATATAGTTCAAAGTGTCCTCTACAAAACTGGATCAAAGCGACATCTTAAAAACTCCATCGTTCGGCAGCTATGGACGTTTTTCCCGAAGCTTTAGCACTCCTCTGCCATTAGGTTTGCGACTGTCAGAAATGAATGAAACCATAGGTTATCGACTATGCTGAATCTTGTGGCAATATTAGTTTTCAAAACAAAATGCAACAACCAAGTGCAAACCTATGCTAGGTGAAATAACCCATTATTGACTATTTTCAACAAAAATTAAAACGATCATAACTCAGTCAAAATCCGTCCAACCTACTTCAGAATGTCAGCAAATACTCTATTTTATCTGCAACAAACCGTAAACCTTAAGAAGTGTTGAAAAAATCAACAGAAAATACTTGGGTTTCTAGAAAGGTTTCCCAGAAACCTTCGGAACTACACAAAGACTTTTTATTAATTTTACACACACAATCAAAATGAGCGGATAAAATAGAGTATTTGCTGATATTCTGAAGTAAGTTCGATGGATTTTGACTGATTTATGATCTGTTTAATTCTTGTTGAAAATAGTCATTAATGGGTTATTTCACCTACACAGTAAAAAAAAACGTGTTCTTCAGAAAACATAAAACGAGTTTTTCATTTGTCCCAAATAGAAAATACAAACGAGTTTTTTAGAAACATGCAAAGCTAGATTTTTCGGAAAACCGAAGAACATAAAATGAGTTCTTGAACTTTTCAGTTTTCTATTTGGGACATTTGTTCTTCAGAGAACTGCAAGCGAATAACACATTCCCTGTTGTTTATTTCTTTGAAGAACTCATTTTTCAGTTCTTCAAATTTATACTTTATGCTGTTTTGAGTTCTTGAAAGAACTCAGATTTTTCATCAGAAGTTTTGTTGCTTGTTACACGTTGTATATTGTTATATTGGGAATTGAAATATTAGATTAATTCGTTTATCATGCGCCCATTATTTTTGTATGGTATGCTGATTTAACGATCTTTCTAAGTTACTTTTATTACTTCTGTAATAGAAAAATTGTAGAACATAGTGTTCAGAACATTAAACAAAATAAAAGGATTACACTAGTTTATATCTCACAAAAAACTGTCCTGGTAGAACATAACATCAGGACTTAAACTATTCTAACTATTGTTAATAATATCAGTTACAAATAAAATATAAGTACATGGCATATTTTTTCATTGACATGTAAAACTGCAGATCTTGTTACGATCAAAGTTGAGTATATCATCTTTTTATATGTAAGAAATCAACAGACACGAAAAAAACACCACCGGGTTATGTCCTTGTTTACAAATAAAATCAAAAAATTTATCTTTGTAGAAACATAGAAAAATATGACGGTTTGTGTGCTGATAAACAGTAAAAACAAGAAAAAATATTACAAATAATGTACACTTTCTTTCAGCTTATGAATACGTTTTAATCACTTGATAAGACAAACAGGCGAAGAGAAAAAAGGGAAAAGAAAAACCAGTTGGGATTCTTGTTATTAAAAAACACAATACCAATACAAAATCAAAAATTTAATAAACACACGTTATTCTAACCTAACATGTGACGAAAAAAGATAACCCATTGTAGATCACGCAGGTTTAAGTCAACATACAACAACAAAAAAACAATCAGTAGATCACACAAGATTTCTTGACAACGAGACATGATTATCAGTTAAAAATATGGAAAAACGAAAAAAAGTAGGCTATGAAAAAACAATCCTATAGGATTTTGAACAGACAGAAAGAAAAAAATTAAGAATAAACATACAATCTTGTTCTTTACACAATTTTCAATTTTTTTATTAGTGTCTTGACCGCTGCTTCCATATCAACACATGTTTTTCGATATAAAATATAATCAAAAAATTGATTGGTTTTTCTGATTGATTTATGAAATTCAATGTTAAAAATATGATAAAGGGATGTCCAAAGAATAACAGCTTCAATAGCATTTGGTGTAACAATTAAATGTATACCATCTAGTCCAACTTTATAATATTCAACAACATCTGTACAGGTCAATACTGATGGCCACGGCCATTTTGGATCCTGAAATAAATATAGTCAATGTTTAGTATAGAACTTGATGCACGAATCACCCCTTCTCTTACTCGACTATCTGGAATTATATACTGCTTTGATTCTCGAAATGCTGATGTAACTATTGACAAAAGTTTAATAGCAACTGGATCTAAAAACATAGAAGAATTGTTCGAACGTTCAGTTTGTTCTACAGAACACAAGTACCTAAGTCATTATAAACTAAACCAGATTTCATATCTTTTAATTTAACAATCAGATCAGCAAATAAAATTCCAAATTCATCTGGTGTAGAACTGGTTAGAGACATTAGTGATATTTCTTGTAAGACCTAAAGGAAAAAAGTCAAACAAAGTTTAGAAAAATGAATATTAAACAATAGGTTTCCACTCAATTTTTGCATGATGCATAATATCATACAAAGTTAATTACTTACCACACATGGAAGTTTCATTGCTGGAAATTCTGTAAAATAATCAGCAACATTCTTTCCAGATTGTAAGAATTGTAGTCGATAATCAAATGTTAATCGACTTTCAATATGACGTTTCGTTGTCGACGACAACTTCTTCAGACAAAAAAAATAAATCACAATAACTGATAAAAATGTGACTAGAAGTCCATTCAAGTGTAGCTTTGGAAGGGTTCACGATTTTCCAATGTTGGTTACTGGTTCATGAGCTTATTTCTTTTTTTTTAAAATAGAATAAATGATAAACTGTCTGATAATTAGATTGTGCGTACATAAAGGGTGGGTACTAAGTTTTGACCCTCTCTCTAAACTGACGTTATCTATATGAAATACATACAGTACATCTCAGCTGTTCTTTGCAAAAGATTCACCATTTGATTCTTTATAAATCGGTATATAGAGGATGATCCTGTGACTTGCGATTCCGTGTTAATCGAACAGAAATCGAAATGGCCAAACCTTTTAAACAGTTAATTCGAAAAACTGTATTTCCTCAGTATAAGCCTGAATGTATGCGTTGTGCTCACATCGAATAGGCCAAAATATAGCTCGTCGAATTCTCTTGGCTTGGAAATCTTCTATTCCGACTGTACCACCAATTTTCTGTCATTATTTCTGTGTTTTCAGTAGTTTCAGTTCAAAATTCAAAACCATCATCAGAAAAGCTTTTCTTTTTTGAAAGTTTTGGGGCATTTCGACTTCTGTTCAATCAAGACTGAATCTCAAGTCTCGGTTTCATCTCCTAACCATTTTGTAGAGAATTAAACAGCGTAGAGAATTTGTAGAGAATTTTGTAGAGAATAAAAACAGCTGAATTTTTGTTATATGTATTTCATATACATAACGGAACGTCAGTTATAGAGAGGACCAAAACTTAGTTTCCATCCTTTATCTTATGTTTTTTGTATTTCTTTCTTTTGCTTTTACGAACGATCGGTGTTTCGTTATCAGTTGAAAAGTTTGTCCAGAGGTGGGCAAGTCACGGATTTTCCAGATCATAAGTCAAGCCCAGTCAAGTTTAGGCGCTTATGAAATTTAGTCAAGTTCAAGTCATTTACCTGAAATTTTCTTATTAACGTTTTGGTTTAACTATGAGCTTCTGCTTTTCGTGGTTCACGGGTAAGAATATCATGCAGTCTCCTTTCCTCTAGAACATATTTAAGTCGATCGATGCGGTTCATAATGTTCAAAAGCTTGACTACCTTTCACATAACTAGCAGCCTTCGATCACCTTCACATGTGCCCAGATCGATCAGCAAACGATTCGCTCAAGAGGAGTTGTACACTGAGGAGGTTCCACCGATAGTTATAAAAACGTAAAAAGTCAAAGAATGTCAATGTACACAACATTACTAAAACTGATTTTCTGCGATCGATATATTTCAGCCTTTTATACTGCTGGTGGTTGGGTAGCTTGTCTTGAATGAAATTATGATGAGTCGAGGTTTAACTGAATTTTAAAAGTGACGGAAGTCTTCGACGATTCTTCCACTTTTACATCCGAGTCGAAACCCGGAAGTATTCAGATACTTTGAGCACTGACGTGAGTAGAATCATAAGAATTGTGCACACGTGTTATCGATCAGCAGAAAGTAACGTTCGTCTTCTGATCAATTCATGAGTGGTTTATGTCATATCGGCAACCTGTTCTTTTTATTGGTGCCGACAATCCAGATTATGGTTAGTTAAAAGGTGTGATCTTTGTGCGGTCAACAGAATTTCTTTTCTAGTGACTCTCAGTTATTGCACCATATCAACGTCATTTTATTTTTGACGCGTTACATATGAGTATTCTTGCTGTTCTGTCTCTTATACACATGCCGTTTTGTAATGACTCACACACCTTTTTTTTTGTGTCATTCTGTCTGTAGAAAAGCACTCAGAATGACATTTGAAATAACGTGTGTTCATAATATTTTATTCCAATACAAGCATTTAATTTTTACTCTAACTGCTCTTCTGTTTTTTTTCGCAGAAACGAGTCCTATCCGTTTCATAAAGTGTTAGAGTAAAAGTAAGTCATACCACTACAGAACTTGTATCGAGTAAAGTTTCATAGCTATCTGCATATAATTGTATGCTTGTGAGTATAGACACCGTGCAAAACTATAGAAAAAGTTGGATGCACTTTCACGCTTCTAATAATTAGAATACTCGAAAAGTTGTTGTTTCAGAACGTTCTCAAACTGTCAAGGACGAAAAACCAAAGACTTTTACATTTCTAGTCCAGCCAGCATGGAAACCGAGAAAAGCAGACTATTTTCTAAACGTTTCAACTAGTCGGGTTAGATTTTGAGAGATATGAATTTTTTTACACTGATAGCTAAAATTATGATATCTGCCTTAAAACTCCTCTTTAATAGGTCTTCTCCTGAAGGATCGCAGGATTATTAAGTTGTTAAGAGTTTATAATATTCTCCATGTATGCTTTATCGGTGAGTTTAGATCTAATAATATTCAAAGATGATGGCATGTTTTCATTCCACAAAAACAAAAAAATATTTACCAAAAGAATTATGTGCAATTGAAAAAAATTATGAAAATGATCTGTATCATTTTGATCATGCTGAACAATTGATAAGTTGTAAATTATTGACAACCAATCCTTATCGTCCACATTTAAGACAGGTTTACCCAACAACAATCAATGAACATTGTCTTACAGACGATATGTTAAATGTTCTCAAAACCTACACAGATAGTAAAAATAATGAATGTTGTTTAAAAACAAATTTAAACTTATTAACAAATAATGATATCGATTGGTCTTATACAAACAAATTGCATTCATTAATACGTGGTCTACAGCAACACGATATAAAACCTATTTATTATCGTGGCTTATATTTGAGTGACATTGAAATTAAGTACTACCAGGACCGGATCAATCAACATTATTATACACAATCATTTTCATCATTTACAATCGATAGAATACTCGTTTACAGTGGTAATGCAATTATTATTTTAAGAACAACACCAGAAAATAAATCATCAATTGCAAATGTATGGAAATGGAGTACAATACCCGATGAAAAAGAAGCTATCCTCTCCATAGGATCAAAATTAAAAATTTGTAGTGTACACTATTTTGGGTACAAATGGGAGATTGAAGTTGAACTGATTGATGAAGAATTGGATGACGATGATAAATCACATAGTGACGACGATTATTAAAAGATACCAGCGAGGGAAGGCCACCAAGTGCCCCATCGCTTTTGGCTTAAAACCTAGTGGACAATAGGTAATCGACCATGCTAATGCCGAATATGATAGCCGTTTTCC